TATTATTTTACTATTGCTGTGCAGCAGCATGGGAAGCAACCTAATAGCTGGGAATGAAGCATCTGTTTACTAATAATTCAGTCTGAATGATGTATCTGCCTAGGGCTGTGTGTGTGTGTGTGTGTGTGTGTGTGTGTGTGTGTGATGATTTCCTCTTCCTTATAAACTTATATAATCACAGACATAGGTCACTGATGGAAGTTCACAGACAGGATTCGTTCAACCACACTGAACCCAGCCAAAACTAAGATTAGGCCCCTACCTCACACCACACACAAAGTTTGACACTCAAAATATATCAAAAACCCAAATGTAAGAGCTAAAACTACAAAACTCTTATGAGGTAATGTAGATGTTCATGACCTTAGATAAAGCAATACAATGCTTTTTAAGATGTGACACCAAAAGCACAAGCAACAAAAGAAAACAATATGTACATTGATGTTATCAAAATGTAAATCTATTGTGCTATAGAAGGACACCGAAAAGACCATGAAAACACAACCCACAAACTGTGAGGAAATAACTGAAAATCACAAATCAGATAAAAGAGTCTTAACTAAAAATGTAGTTTTCTTAAAACTTAACAACAAAAATACAAACAACCCAGTTGGAAAATGGGTGGAGTATCTCAAGAGCTATTTCTCCAAGAAGATCTCTAAATGGCCAACAAGCACACGGTGAGATGGTCAACATCCTTACTCACTAAGGAAATACAAATCAAAACCACAGTGAGATACCACTTCACAACCACGAAGATGGCTATAATAAAAAAGACAGTAACAAGTATTGGTGAGGTTGCGGGGATCTAGACCCCTGCAGCATTGCTAGTGGGAATGTAAAATGATACACAGACTTTAGGAAACAGCTTGGACGTTCCTAAAAAAATAAACATAGAAATACCATTTGACCCAGCAATTTCACTCTAGATCCTTGAGGAATCGCCACACTGTCTTCCACAATGGTTGAACTAGTTTACAGTCCCACCAACAGTGTAAAAGTGTTCCTATTTCTCCACATCCTCTCCAGCACCTATTGTTTCCTGACTTTTTAATGATTGCCATTCTAACTGGTGTGTGTGAGATGGTATCTCATTGTGGTTTTGATTTGCATTTCTCTGATGGTGAGTGATGATGAGCATTTTTTCATGTGTCTTTTGGCTGCATAAATGTCTTCTTTTGAGAAGTGTCTGTTCATATCCTTTGCCCACTTTTTGATGGGGTTGTTTTTTCTTGTAAATTTGTTTGAGTTCTTTGTAGGTTCTGGATATTAGCCCTTTGTCAGATGAGTAGATTGCAAAAATTTTCTCCCATTCTGTAGGTTGCCTGTTCACTCTGAGGGTAGTTTATTTTGCTGTGCAGAAGCTCTTTAGTTTAATTAGATCTCATTTGTCAATTTTGGCTTTTGTTGCCATTGCTTTTGGTGTTTTAGACATGAAGTCCTTGTCCATGCCTATGTCCTTAATGGTATTGCCTAGGTTTTCTTTCAGGGTTTTTATGGTTTTAGGTCTAACATTTAAATCTCTGGGCCAAAATGAGATGGGAGCATTTTCAGTATGTGGGGCTCTAGCTCACCCCATTTTCTCTTTTTAAAATTTTTAATTTTTAATTTTTTTTTGAGACTGAGTCTCTCTCTATTGCCCAGGCTGGAGTGCAGTGGCATGATCTCAGCTCACTGCAACCTCCACCTCCTAGGTTCAAGCAATTCTCTTACCTCAACCTCCCGAGTAGCTGGGACTACAGGCATGCGCCACCACACTGGCGTAATTTTTGTATTTTCAGTAAGGATGGGGTTCCACCATGTTGGCCAGGCTGGTCTCGAACTCCTGACCTCAGGTGATCCGCCCACCTCAACCTCCCAAAGTGCTGGGATTACAAGCGTGAGCCACTGTACCGGCCTGTAACTTTTTTTTGTTTTGTTTTTTGAGATGGAGTCTCTCTCTGTCACCCAGGCTGGAGTGTGGTGGCGTGATCACATCTCGCTACAAGCTCTGCCTCCTGGGTTCAAATGACTCTCCTGCCTCAGCCTCCCAACTAGCTGGGACTACAGGCACATGCCACCATCCCAGGCCAAGTTTTGATTGTTGTTGTATTTTTTAGTAGAGATGGGATTTTCGCCATGTTGCCCAGGCTGGTCTTGAACTCCTGACCTCAGGTGATCCACCCGCCTTAGCCTCCCAACGTGCTGGGATTACAAGCGTGAGCCACTACACTCGGCCTGTCACCACATTTTCCTGTGCCTCCCTCACTTCTCACTCCCATCTGCCTCAATCGAGTGATCTCAAGCCTCACATCGTCTCTCCCAGGAAGCCTCCAATGGCTCCACCACCCTGGGCTGAGTCACGTGCCTCTCTGGATCTGAGCTTCCCCCACCACACAGTGTGGTCACTGCCTGGTTACCACTCTGTGTCTCTTGCTAAACTGTAACATCCTGAGGGCAAGGACAGCATCTTATTGGGTCTGTGCTGTGTTTCCAACACCTAGAAACGTCCTGGCATCTAGTAAATATTCAAGAAATGTACATTGAAGAAAATAATGAATGAAGGGCGTGTATGATGCCATGGTACTCCATAAGGCAGGTGAGAAAATGGGAAAGGTGACATTTGCACTGAGCTTGAAGGATGAGGAAGGGTCCGTAGACACAGTGGCAAGCAGGGCATCCCAGCCCGAGGAATCAGCTTGAGTGCCCACAACAGGGTAGGGGAGCTGGAGAAGTCATATTGGGGCCAGACTGTGAAGGGCGTTGGAGGCATCTTAGAATCATTACTCTGGGCCCAAGGGGAGGAGGGTAGGCTGGAAGGAGAGGCCAGGAAGGGGCTGGGGCCTCGAGCTTGGCAGGGACAGATGCCAGCCTGGACTGAGGGTCCGGCCAACACTTTCCTCCAAGCCCAGCCTCCCAGGACAGCAGAAGACCCAGAATTTGGAGAAATTGGGCTGGACCTGCAGATATTTTCCCCTGAGACATTTCTTTGGCACAGCTCGAACCAGGAAGGGACATCAGAGGGACAGATGTTAAGCCGAGAGATGGAGCCAGGACTAGGAGAGAAGTGTTTTGTTGCTGCTTCTGGATGCCCAGAGAAATGAGGACGGGAGGCTGGGGTTAACAGGAAACAAGGTGAGTTGTGAGCCGGGGGGATGAGGTAGGAGGACCAAGGTGGCAGTTCAGCTGCATCTTGCGGCCCTGCCTGGTGGGGGCGCCGTGACTCTGGACCAGCGGCTTGGCCTCTCTGGACCTCATTTTCCGTTTTGTAAAATGGGGCTGGATTATTTCAGGAAGAGACACATGTGTAAGGATCTTGGCCCAGAGTAGGTGTTTGGTCGGGGTGAATGCCCCTTCCTCTTCCCCCATTTCATTTTTTTTTTTTTTTTTTTTTTTTGAGACGGAGTTCTGCTCTTGTTGCCCGGATTGGAGTACAATGGTATGATCTCAGCTCACCCCAACCTCCACCTCCCGCATCCAAGCGAGTCTCCTACCTCAGCCTCCTGAGTAGCTGGGACTACAGGCATGCGCCACCACCCCCAGCTAATTCTGTATTTTTAGTAGAGACGGAGTTTTTCCATATTGGTCAGGCTGGTCTCGAACTCTTGACCTCAAGTGATCCACCTGTCTTGGTCTCCCAAAGTGTTGGGATTACAGGCATGAGCCACTGCACCCAGCCTTCATTTTTTTCTTAAACTGTGCACGTTATTCCTTCATTCACCCCACTAATATTTGTTGAGCACCTACTATGTGCCCAGCAGTGAGTGGCAAATAAGCAAAAAGTCCCTTTGACCCTCAACCTCGTGGCTCAACTCAGCTTTTCTGCCAGGCAGGGCCCTTGCATTTCTGAACGTCTCCACTGGGCTTCACCCAGGGATGACCAAAGAAATATGAGCTCCAGAAGATGCATTCCCCAAACGTGCATCAGCCCTTCCTGTGCACCAGAACCTGTGCTCACAACTGTGAGGAGGTGTGGATCAGAACCCATCCCTCCCTCAAGAAACATCTTCTTTCCAAAAAATACAAAAATTAGCTGGGAGTGGTGGTGGCTGCCTGTAATCCCAGCTACTTGGGAGGCTGAGGTGGGAGAATCAGTTGAACTGGGAGGTGGAGGTTGCAGTGAACTGGGATCAAATCACTGCACTCCAGCCTGGGTGACAGAGTGAGACTCCATCTCCAAAAAATAAAAAGATAATAATAAAAAATAAGAAAGAAGGAAAAGAAAAAGAAACATTTTCTCCATCTACTTCCCTTCACTGCATTCTGCCCTTGAGTAAGGGACTATAAGACAGTTTCCTCTGTTACTTCCATTTGATCCCAAATACATGAAATCTGGCAGATACTCATTTTTTTAATTGGCAAAATGTGTATATATTTATACTATATGACACGATGTTTGGATATCTGTATACACTATGGTTTATTCAAGCCTGTTAACATACGCATTATCCCACATACATATCATTCTTTTCTGTGATGGCAATACTCAAAATCAACTTTCAATAATTTTCAAATATACAATAGATTGTTATTAATTATAGTCATGCACAATAGATCTCATGGTCTTCCTGTCTAACTGAAATTTCATGTTCTTTGACCAACATCAAAAAGATGAAAGATAAAAAGAATGTTGGCAAGAATGTGAAGAAAAGGGAATTCTTGTAAACTGTGGGTGGGAATGTAGGTGAGTACAGCCATTATAGAAAACAGTAGAGAGGTTCCTCAGAAAATTAAAAATGGAATTATCGTGTAATCCAGCAATCTCACTTCTGGGTATGGCATATACCCAAAGGAAATGAAATCAGTATGTTGAAGAAATATCTTCACTCCCACGTTCACTGCAGCACTATTCACAAAAGTCAAGGGATGGAATCAACCTAAGTGTCCATCAACGGATAAATGGATGAGGTAATGAATACACATGGAATACTACTCAGCCTTGAAAAAGAAGGAAATCCTCTCATTCATGACAACATGGATGAACCTAGAAGACACTGCATTAAGTGAAACAAGCCAGGCAGTTTCTCTTTAGTATTAATGGTAATTTATTCTAGATGAATTCCCTTTTTGGATCTTTTCACCTCAATGAGTTTCAGAGAAGGGAAAGGAGCTGTAAGCAGGAGTCTGCAGTCTGCAGCATTTTCATTGCATTTATCTTGGGGTATCTGAATGATTAATGCACTGGTCTGTCTCCCTTCTCTGTCCAGAAGCTCTTAGAGGTGGAATCCAAGTCACAGTCACCATTCTAGCACATTTTGGGTGTGTCATAAATATTCATAGGATAATATTTTCACTAAAGATTGGAAGGCTGAGTTGGGTTGAAGGGCTCTTCAATGCCTTGGTCAACTTCTTGCTCAAGAGGTCTCCTCCATCTGAGATGAGCACTGCCTGAAAATAAATATTAGTAGAAACAGGAAACCTCATGCTTGGTCTGCTCTTTGGTAACACGGAGAAATAGAAAGAGCCACACTGGCTGCTTAAGATGGTGACACTGACCAGCCTCAACCCCTAAAGACTGTGCATGAGGTAACCTTTATCTCCAGCTCAGAGGAACTTCAACCTCAGCTACCACCCATTTAACAGATGTATCCAGAGCAATGGAGCTCATCACTGAGCCAGGAGCTGGGGAGACTGCAATGGCCATTACAGATTTAGTGCCTGTTCTTGTGGACTTTACAGTGGAGGAGAGAAGGTGGATGATGAATAACTGAATGTCAGACAAGAGCAGGAGGAGCATAAGGAGGGGATGGCAGTGGCTATAGGAGTAGACAAATGAATCCTCAGAAAGCAAGGCAGGCTGATAGGAGAGGACTTCACGGAGGAGGTAGCATTTCATCTGAGTTATTCTGCAGAGGGAGAGGAAAGGTTGTGCACCAAGCAGAGAGAAGGGCATGTGCAAAGGACTTAGGGTGGGGAAATAACTCTTCATCCAAGGAGCAGAAGGCCAATAGGAGAGGGACCTTGGGCAGAGGAGTGAGGAGTGTTTCATGGAGCCTAAAAGACAGGCAGAGGTTTGCATCCAGTGGACCTTTCCCCATAATCTATCAGACCTGAGATGACACTCATCTACACAGGGGATGTACACATAAGGGCAGGTGGGTTCAAATGATGTCAGCCACATCTACAAAATGAATTTCAGATTAACTAGAGAATAGCCACATTTTGGAAGGGTTTTGCAACTCACAGACATGGAATGGGGTTGCAATGAGAGAGTCATTTGCTTGTTTTCTCTGTGAATATTTACTGAGCATCTATTAGGTGCCAGGCAGTGAGGACACAAAGTTGAGCAAATACAGTGTGGTCTTATCCTCTTGTGGGGAGTGTTGAGTAGAGAAAGACAGTAAGTATGAATAAGTCATTTATATAATAAGGAGAGTGTGGTAAGTGTTAGGATGGAGGAAGCGGAAACCTGGCCCACCTCGGAGATCTGGAGACCTTCCCCTCCATCCCCTCCAGCAGCGCAATATGTTCACAGGAGCCACTCTTGGCACCAAGTGCTTTGCATGCTTTGGTTCTGACAGCCAAGATGCTGTGGTGCTTTCTGTAACATTTGGCTACGTGGAGCTCTGGGACTATAGTGTCTTGGGGAAGAAAGAGCCACTTCCAATGCCTACCTACATCTCTTGCTGCTAATCAGACACCTAAGTTTGGACGTGAGGCTAAGTGAAAAATTCTCTGGGACCATTTCCCCAGAGTGAGATGAGCCTGTGTTTCGGTCTCCACCTCATCCCTGAGCTATGCATTCAAACCTAATCTCCCTGCAGCTCTGTAGCTGATCCTTAGAGACTCTTTCATTTGCAAAAAAACAAAATGGAGTGGAGATGGAAATTGTGTGTCAACTTTTAATGAGCCCCCAGGTGTCAGTGAAAGTCCCATGGCTTGTTCACTAACAAAAGTTAGAATTGGCTTCCTGGGGATTGTTATGCAGTGGAGTTCGGCGAGTTGTGCAGACAGTTGTTCCACTGGGATCTTTAATACCAATCAAGGCTCTAACCATGTTCTTCTCTGTTGTGTCTACCAGAAAAGATACCTGGGGGCTTTGAGCGATGGGCACTGAGAGTCTTAGAGCGGGGTTGGAGGTGGTAGGTTCAGATACATTTTACTAATTGCTTGGTTTGGAGACCCCATGACATCACTTCAATTGTATGCTCCAGGGGCTTTTCTTCTTCTTAAAACAGAGACCAGCTGATCACCACTGTGAATTGTTCGTTTCTCTTCAGTCTCGTAAACACAGATTAATGATTAAGGGGAGACTTGTAGCGTAGTCTGGATAGTTCCTTGCTTCACAGCACTGACTCATATCAGACAGACTCAGGTTCAATTCCTGGCTTATCCACTCCCTGGCTGTGTGGCTTTGGTAAAGTGAATTGATCTCTCTGTACCTCCATCTGCCAATTGGGAGGCTAATGTTAACAGCACCTGCTTTCATTTCAGTGTGCAACTCTGGACTGGACTGTCGGATCACGGGTGCATCACCCCACACATGAGCAATCTTGCAGGGGCAAGGGCTTGATCTGACTCACCTTTGAGTCTATAGTGCCCAGGTCTTTCTGGCCCAAAAGCCTCCAAACCATCCCCTGCTGGTCAGGCTGGGTATTAAGCCCTGCGTCTGGGATTTGCACTGACTCCCACTAAGCAATAATGGAAGAATTGACAAAAAACAACTCCTCCCCCACTCCCCCACCTGAGGAGCGGGACCAATGGGAAAAGATCAGGAACAGGCCAGCACCTGCGCTCACCATTCAATCTCAATAGACTCACGTTGGGAGTTATACCTGATGTAAATGACGAGTTGATGGGTGCTGACGAGTTGATGGGTGCAGCACACCAACATGGTACAAGTATACGTATGTAACAAACCTGCACGTTATGCACATGTACCCTAGAACTTATGTATAATAATAATAAATAAATTTAAAAAAAAAATAGACTCACGATCCTTCAGAAGCTCTCGCGCTTCTTGCCGGCAGCGTTCCTGGTATTCTGGATGCTTTGCGAGGTGGTATAGGACCCAGGAGAGACCACATGGCCTGAGGGGCAGCCAAGCAAAACTGGGTTTCTGGGCTGCTTCAGCACCAGAGGGTGGACAGCACCCATACACTGAGGCTCTCCGGGAGAACGTAGGGAGGGGGAGGATGGGCAGAATGGAGTGACACAGGGTCCACTCACCACGTCGCTGGGATGGAGAGGCCCCTGTCCCCACTGTAGTCCCACACTGAGACCCTCACCCTCAAACATGAAGGTGTCAGCTTCTGCTCTTATGTCCTCATCAGACAACTCCTTCCCATCTTCATCCTGGAGAGAAGGCAAGACAATACCCCTGCCCCAAATCACACCAGCTCTGGGGGCTCTTGAGTCAAACCTAAAACAATTTCTGAAGATCCATCCTCCTTCCAGAAAACCAAGCCCATCGTGCACTCCTAGATGTCTCTTGGTAACCACCATCAGAGACTACCACCCACATGCTTCCCCGCTGAATTCTCCTATTTGGCCCTGCTGGGAAGAGTCAATGACCTATGAATATTATCTTGTCTCTGAATAATGAGGACTTTTGGAGTGAAACATTACTGGCAACCTGGGTTACAGCATATTTCAATGGCAGTTTGGCTTGGAAGTTAGAAATTGAGTATTGCTCTGAAGATATTTGCTCACATTCTAGAGTGGTAAACTCAGAGAATCCTTCTTATCTTTCCAGAAGGCATCTGGGTTATAAACCTATAACACCACCACCTACGTTATAAATCTATAACACCATGCACTTACAGGCATGGACATCTCCCTGGAGAGGAGTAGATTTTACTCCAGAACAAAGCAAACATTCTCTCTCTCTCTCTCTCTCTCTCTCTCTCTCTCTCTCTCTCTCTCTCTCTCCCCACCCCCTCTCTCTCCCATTCTCACACTCACCATGGAAGGAAGAAGGGGCAGATGTGCTAGCTATCCTATGTAAGCTCCAAGATGTATAATGTGGGGCCACCTCTCTGCAGTGCATTCTGGTGTATTTACAGGTAAAAACATTGTGCTACCCTAGGAGGAATATGGGAATGGAGGGTCAGCTCTACAATCCTACTCTGGTGGCTGCTATTGGCTGTGAATGATTAAAACAGGCTGCTATGATCCAGGGGTTTGGTGCATCTGTCATCATAGATATAGACATAGACACATAGATATGCATAAAAATGTGTCAGACTGACTTACTAACATGTAAGTAAAATCTCAGGCTCCTCACTATTTCAAACTTAGCGGTCCCCTGCCAGCTGAATTCCACAGAGTCATCTCTCAAACCTATCTCTGACCTGTCTTTTTCAAGCATGTTCCATGGCTCCCACTGCCCTCTGGATCAAGTCCAAGTTCTTTCATTTGACATTGGCATAAATCTCCACTCTGTGACTTGAATTCACATCCCAGAGAAGCCCACCTTGCTCAGCAGAAGCACATCAATGAAGTCCAAAGTCTTGGACTTTGCCTTGTTCTTGAGGAAATCATCAATACCCTGAGTGCGGAGGGTTCGGCGCCGCTCCTGGATGACGGCATCTGTGAAGTCATGTACCAGGCGGCAGGACCTGCAGAAGCGCTGCCCATCAGGAGTGAGATGATACAGGAAGTCCGTGTGCAAGAGAATCTGCTGGTTTCTTTTTTCTACAAATGCACTGAGCTCCAAGATAGTGGCAATATATTCACTGGGCTTCCTGCATGAGGGAGGTAACAACTTAACATATGCAAAGTCCCAGGAGCACCTCTCACCAGCAGCTAGAAGCTACTGTCCACCAGGAAATTGAGTATCCGGAAACAGCCAGGAGACTTGACTCTCCAAACTCCCTTCTCTCCAGGCGTCCCATCTCTGAGAGCTGCCTCCATGCACCTAGGTACCCAGAGCATAGCTTGGACACCATGCTTCTCTCCTGTCTCTGCCACCCAGTATCCAGTCAGGACTCTTTTCCTTCCAAAAACTGTTCACAAAACTCAGACCTCACTGTCTTCCAGCTCTTTCTGGCCCAGCCCCCACCATCACCGACTTGCATCCAATGTCAGCTCCGTGTCGTGTCCACATGACAGGCAGACCTCCACAGAGCTCAGTTGTGACTGCACCGGTCATCGGTCCAACTCCCTTGAAAAGATTCCTGGGAACCTCCTGATAAAGTTCATGCCACTTTTCCTGATTTTCAGTGTCCTGAAATCTATTCCCTGTCTACTTCCACAACCTGATCTCTACTGTCTGCTGCACACGCTTGCCTCATCCTAGTCTTCTTGCCTATACTCAAATATTTCTACCTACTTGAAAGGACTGTACTTTCTCTCTTCCCTTCCCCATCCTTCAAAGCCCAGCTATGACACATAGAAAGTGCCTTCAGAAAGACACTTCTGGTTACCCCAGTCAGTCATCCTTTTCCAACCTACTCCCTTGGGTTCGTGGCCCAAGTTCTCAGGCCATAGGAAAGGACTCACTCCTGACAATTGCTTTCAAAGTTGAAGATGCATTTCTGCAGACTGTCCAAGGTCATAAGGCTGAGGTGCTCAAACATGTCCAGTCTGGCGCTGCTCTCCGAGGCCAGGCGCTGCCACTTGTCCTGGCCAGAGTAAAAACAGAGTTGAAGCTGGGAACTGCCTCCTGTGAATGCCTTCCCAGACCCAAACACCAAGATGGATCCCCTGCAATCATCCTCCTGGTCCTCTGCCCCAGGCACCCATCCCCAGGAAGGACCAGCTTGGATAGGACCAGAAACTGTTACTATTAGGAGATAAAGACTCATGGCTGGGAGTCGAGAGACCTGGGTTCAAGTCCCAGCTCAGCCTCCTATGGTCTGTGTGCTCTTGGTCAACTTCCTGCACTCCTGTAGGTCCCATCGATCAAATCTTCAGTAACAATTAAGACAACATGCTATGGGGCCTGATAACTAGGGTGGAATCACTGCTCCACCACTCCTAGCTCACTTACTATCTGTTTCAATTTTGGTGAGCTCCCTAATCTCTCTGGCCCCCAGTTTTATCACCTGCAATAGGGCAAAACCAACCACAACCTCACACAGTTATTAAAATTAAATTAGAAAAAGTGTATCCTGGAGCTGGCAAATGGCACTGTTTCTGGCACATGGTGAGTGCTCAGTAAACGTTGGTTTTACTCATCTCCATTGCCACAGATTCATTTCAAAAATATCCCTGTTGTGGGAGAGGAACTTTACACACTGGGGCCTGTCAGGGGGTTGGGGGCGAGGGCAGGGAGCGCATTAGGAGAAATGCCTAATGCATACGGGGCTTACAACCTGGATGATGGGTTGGTGGGTGCAGCAACCTACCATGGCACATGTATACCTATGTAACAAACCTGCACGTTCTGCACATGTATCCCAGAACGTAAATATATATATACACACATATATATTTATATAATTTATATAAATTATATATATATACATTTACACACACACACACACACACACACACACATCCCTGTTGTGAAAGGGACTCCTCCATCAGATCTGAGCATCTCTCTGGGTATGCCAAGAATGCCAGACCTGTTTTTCTTACTTGGGCCACTTCTCAGAGTTGTTTTGCAGACAAGGCAATGGCTCCCCCTGGACCAAAATCAGGCTAGCTTCTGCTTGCTATAAAAGCAGATTCCCTAAGCCTAGTGCTCCTTTCCTCCCATGCAATGCACTGCATGAGCAGGCAACTACTGAAACCTCTCTGTGGCACCCCGTGGGATTTGGGTGGTTTGGAGAAATGATGCAAACCAAGAACATACTGCTTGCTATGCCATGAGTAATAAATAGTCATTGGTCTCTGACCCAGGACTCTCGTATCTCCTGGCAGAATCCATGAAGCATTAACAAAGCTAGCTTATCAGCTTGCAAGTAAGTAAAACATCCTAAGCACTTCACAAAATACCGACTCCCAATTCTTCACTTCTCCCTGTATTCACACTTTGCACTATGATTTTCCAGCAACTTCTATTAAGACATGGAGCCTGTTTTATGTCCGTTTGAGTCTGTGCAGACCTAAGCCTGGTTGAACTTTGAAACATTGCAGAGAGAATGTCCAGAGACATTGCCGTCTCCTCACAGTCTCTCAGAACCCAGTCTATGCCATGTGAACAGCAGGTGCCTCCTGGAGGCAGAGAAACACATGGAGAAAAGTCCAGGTATCACAGCTGAGGCCATCCTAGATTAACCTGAAGCTAGTGAAGCTCCAAACAAACACGTGAATAAACTGAGCCAGGATCAGCAAAGCTGCCCACCTGACCCACCTGACTTGCTCATGTACCAAGAGTGATCCCATCCACATGCAGAAGAACCAGCCACCTGTCTCACACACTTGTTAGGTATCATAAACCCTTATTGCTCTAAACCAATGAGTTTTGAAGTGGTTTGTACTCAGCAATTGTGACTACACAAACTTCATCTTTACTCTCTTGAGTTTGAAGGGTTTCTGTGAGAGAAACATGGAAACTCACACCTCTGAGACCTACCATGTGCCAGGGACACGATTCCATTATGTCATCTTACCACCTTTTAAGTAGAGATTATTATCCCCATTTTACAGATAGGGAACCCAAGGCTCAGAAAGGAAGAGCATTGGCCCCAAAGCACAACCGAAATTCCAGACCAGATATGCCTGTAGTCCCTCTGCCCTGAGGCTCCAGCTGGGACTCAGAGTTCAAGGGACTCACGTGCATGATGTTCACACTCTTGTTGAAAATCTTCATATAAGGCTTCAGGATGTTGAAATGGAAGGCAGGAGTCAGCATGCGACGGTGGTGGCTCCACTTGCCACCACCACTCAGCAGGAGCCCATCCCCTAGCAGGGCAATCAAGAAGAGTGGTCGAGGGCAGCACCCTCCCTTATCCCTAAAGGATATCCCCAACCCCACTCACCTGCAATTACTCACCCAGCCAGGTCTTCATGAAGCCATAGAAAATCATATTTTTGGGTGCAACAGCAGCTGACATGATTGAGGGCCTTCAGGGGCCGTGGAGAGGGGTAAGAGAAAGACTTTGAGTATGGAGGAATGCTCCCAGTCAGGGGTGTGTACTTCCACTTTTCCCACCCAGCATAGCAGGAAGAAGTCCAAGGGTAGAGGAAGAAAGGAGGATGGTGGAGGAAGGAGAGACTAGACCAGGCTGCAGCAGCACAGCAATAACACAGTATGCTCCAGCACACAATGACATATCTCCTACATGGTCCAACATGTTCTGCAATACCTGAGCATAGCTCAGCACTCTACAGAATGCATTTACAGGGATCTAGGACACCCTGTATGTCCCCAGCACTCTCTGCTATCTTCTGAAATGGATCTGGGACCTGGGATATTGCCCTGATATGTCTTAACATTCGTGACATGGCCAAAATACACATGCCAAACCCTAAATGACACAACATGCTCTCCCATGAGCCTGAGATGGTGTAATGTGACCTCTGTGTACTCCAATGACGGGTCCAGATAACTTTTAAATATGATGCCATGAATGTCCTAAACATGGCCCAGGCGTAACCAAGCCTATTCTTCAGGCATAATTCAAATCTACCCTAAGACCTAACTCTACTAAGACTCAAATAATACCTCACACAGTTCTCAAAGAGACCCTGGGTCCTACACCTTGGACAAGCACCAAACATGGCCAAGACATGTGAAGCAGGATAAAAAGACAACCTCACACTACATCTCAGACAAGAACCAAAAAGACTCTGACATGCCCCAAATGTCCTCAGCCACAGCTGAGCCCCACACATGATGACTTCTCTGTGTGATCAGGTGGAAGCATATACCAGATACAATCAAATATAATGTAGAAAACACAGGCTATCTCGGACCCTTGGGAGAAAGGTGGGCTTTCTGATAGGAATTGGGCTTCTGAGACTCATCGTTGACACCATATGAAAAGGCAAACTGACACAGAGAATGGTAAAACCAAGAGGAGACAGATTCCCAGTGATGTGGATTGACACCTGGATCCAACTATGCCTGAAAACCACTCTCTCCAGACTTTATGGCCCACTGATTCTCTTTATTTGCGTAGGCCACATGGGTTTGAGTTTCCATCACTCGCAATTGAAAGAGACTTCAGCAGCCAGAGAGAGCTGAGGACCTGCCCAGAGTCACTCAGCATCTTGAGGTTACAGCCATAGTTTCTGTGGGATGCTGCCCCTGCCCCTGTTTGGCTTGGCCTGTTCAAAAACAGGATGAGCAAAGGGAAAGAAAGGGCCCCAGACTGGGGTGGGATCTCCTACTGGAGATTCCTGGGGCCTGGAGCAGGAGAGCCATGAATAGGGTGGATGAGTGACAGAACAAGGTAGAAGGAATAAACTCACCAGAGGTGAACATCATATAAATCGCAGCCCAGATTCTCCACCAGCCTCGAATCCTCCTAGTGTAGTAACTTAGGGACAGCCAAGGCTGATGCCAGGTCTGGTAGGGGGATCTGGATACTAATGATGTCCACTGCATCACCCTTCCCTTGCTTTAAAATCTTTTTACTCATTTTTCCAGCAACCCCTCCTCCAGGAAGCCTTCCAGCCTGCCCCAGCAAAGACCTTGTTCTCTGGGTTGTTGCATCCATCTCCTTCTCTCGATTCCTGACTCCACAAAGTTTGAGCTGTCTCTGTCCGCATCCATTTCCTCAAGCATGGGGGGCTACTTCGAGGACAGTGCTCTCAATTGAGGCTTCTTGGGCCCCCAGTGGTGCCCAGCACAAAATGGCAGGGACAGATGGCAGTGGACGGAGGAGATGCTGACATGGGGGTTGGTGAATACACAAAGGAAAGAGGAACATGGCTGAGAGAGAAGCAGGAAGAGGGGCCTGGACCCTGCAGGGCCCACATGGAAGCTTGGGGGAAGAGAGGATAGAAGGCCTCGGATATTTTGCAGCCCTCATCATCCCAAGCTCCGCATGGGTACCTGAGGCACTGGTGATAGAACGGATGATGTCAGGGTTGCATAAAATGAGGAGGGGGAAGGTAGGACCCAGCCACAACTTAAAGCCTTGGGTGGCCACCAGCTGGATGAACTTCTTTATGCCCTCTTCCATGGGGGTGACCTGAAAGCAAGGCAGAGGCCGTCAGCCCTTGTGATGGTAATTCTAGGTGTCCTGAATTAACTATGAATTCCATGTGACTGAGCCAAGAGATGCCCAGATAAAACATGCTGGTAAAACATTATTTCTGGATGTGTCCATCGGTGTATTTCCAGAAGAGATTCACGTTTGAATAGGTAAACTGAGGAAGGATGATCCACCTCCCCAGTGGGAGTGGGTGTCATCCAACCCTTTGATGGTGCGGATAGAACAAAGAGGCAGAGGAAAGGGTGGATTGAGCTCTCTTCTGGAGCTGGCTCATCCATCCGCTCCTGTCCTTGGACATGAGAACTCCAGGTTCTCAGGCCTTTTGGGACTCCGACTGAATTTACACCACCAGTGTCCCTGGTTTCTGGCTTGCAGATGCTATATCATGGGACTTCTTGGCCTCCATCATCACATTTTCCAATTCCTATAATAAACTCTCTCTCTCTCTCTCTCTCTCTCCCCCCTCTCTGTCTCAGTATATGCATGAGAGATAAGAGGAAGGATATCCTGTTAATTCAGTTTCTAAAGAGAACCTGAGTAATGCAACTCCCCACCAGGAGCCACAGCAAGTTCCCCCCCGCAGCCTCCAGATGTGGTACAGCCTCTGCCCTCAGCAGCGTGTCTGGATTCTGAACAGCTGCAGAGAATCTCTACTGATCCCTGCTCCTTCTTTCTTGGAACTGTCCCCAAGATCCAAAGATAATGGCCAGGCACAGTGGCTCGTGCCTGTAATCTCAGCACTTTGGGAGGCCATGGTGGGCCGATCACCTGAGGTCAGGAGTTCGAGACCTGCCTGGCCAACATGGTGAAACCCTGTCTCTACTAAAAATACAAAAATTAGCCAGGTGTGGTGGCTGACACCTGTCGTCCCAGGTACTCAGCAGGCCGAAGCAGGAGAATCACTTGAACCCAGAAGGTGGAGGTTGCAGTGAGCCTAGATAGCACCACTGCATTCCAGCCTGGGCAACAGAGCGAGACTCTATCTCAAAAAAAAAAAAAAAAAAAAAGAGAGAGAGAGATCCAAGGGTAAATACCAAGGCAGAGGGAGAAGGCAAGCTGTCTGCTCAAGAGGATATATTTTCTCATCTTGGAAATCGTTTCAACCTGGGGACGGCCACACGGAAAAGTCCCCACGGAAGGAGGTTTGTAGACAGCAGTATGGCCTCAGGACGTGTCCCTGTGGCTGGTTCCCACATCCCTCTCACATCCCGGCTGGTCCGCATGGGCTGCTGCTGTTCCCACACTGGGGACCTTCCGTTCTCAGCAGCCTCCAGGGACACAGGAGTGACTCTAACTGTCCACAGTCAGCCCCTCCCACAGGCCAGGCTCCGTGCTAGTGCATCGTGTACACCCTCCACTGCGCCCGTGGACACGCCCATCAATCATGCCATTTACAAGTGAGCAGACAAAGGCCATGTCCCTCAAATGGGAGAGCAGGTCTAAGTCAGAGGCCAAAGTCTGCAGAGTCAAGGGCAGCTTCTGAAAAGAGCAGGGAGTGACTAGCTTTTATTCAGGCAGGCAACAAGGCTGACTGGGACATGTTAGTGAGGAAGAGCAAGATAGGAGGAAGGCATCTCCAGGAAAGAGGCAGCGGGAGACTGCCCACACTTCTCTTCTGGCCCCGCTGCATAGGGAAAGGGGCTCAGAGCTAATTCCTGTGGGAAAGCAGCAGCCCAGAGATGGACAGACACAAGCAAATGGGCCAGGCAGGGAGCAGCCCCTGGACAGTGGGCTCAGGAGGCCTCAAGTCCAGCAGTACAGAAGGCGCAAATGCCAGGAGATCTTTGCTCTGCGCACCCATACCACGCCCACAGGAGCCCCTGAGAGGTGCAGTAACACAGGGAAGACAGGCAGGAAAAAGATCCAAGCAGGCTGGAGTGGGAGGAAAGGGAAGTGAGAAAGACTTGGGATGGCACAGCAGAGGAATGAGTGAGTGAGGAGAGGAGTGAGTGAGTGAGGAGAGGAACGAGTGAGTGAGGAGAGGAATGAGTGAGTGAGGAGAGGAATGAGTGAGTGAGGAGAGGAATGAGTGAGTGAGGAGAGGAATGAGTGAATGAGGAGAGGAATGAGTGAGCGAGGAGAGGAATCAGTGAATGAGGAGAGGAGTGAGTGAGTGAGGAGAGGAATGAGTGAGTGAGGAGAGGAATGAGTGAGTGAGGAGAGGAGTGAGTGAGTGAGGAGAGGAATGAGCGAGTGGGGAGAGGAATGAGTGAGTGAGGAGAGGAATGAGCGAGTGAGGAGAGGAATGAGTGAGTGAGGAGAGGAATCAGGGAATGAGGAGAGGAATGAGCGAGTGAGGAGAGATGAGGAGGGTAGGATGAGTGAGTGAGGAGAGGAATGAGCGAGTGAGGAGAGGAATGAGTGAGTGAGGAGAGGAATCAGGGAATGAGGAGAGGAATGAGCGAGTGAGGAGAGGAACGAGCGAGTGAGGAGAGGAACGAGTGAGTGAGGAGAGGAATGAGCGAGTGAGGAGAGGAATGAGCGAGTGAGGAGAGGAATGAGCGAGTGGGTAGAGGAATGAGTGAGTGAGGAGAGGAATGAGTGAGTGAGGAGAGAATAGGAATGAGGAGGAATCAGTGAGGGATAGAGGAAGAGTGAGTGAGGAGAGGCGAGTGAGTGAGGAGAGGAATGAGTGAGTGAGGAGAGGATGAGCGAGTGAGGAGAGGAATGAGTGAGTGAGGAGAGGAATGAGTGAGTGAGTGAGGAGAGGAATGAGTGAGTGAGTGAGGAGAGGAATCAGTGAATGAGGAGAGGAGTGAGTGAGTGAGGAGAGGAATGAGTGAGTGAGGAGAGGAATGAGTGAATGAGGAGAGGAGTGAGTGAGTGGGGAGAGGAATGAGTGAGTGAGGAGAGGAATGAGTGAGTGAGGAGAGGAATCAGTGAATGAGGAGAGGAATGAGTGGATAGAGGAACGAGTGAGTGAGGAGAGGAATGAGCGAGTGAGGAGAGGAATGAGTGAGTGAGGAGAGGAGTGAGTGAGTGAGGAGAGGAATGAGTGAGTGAGGAGAGGAATGAGCGAGTGGGTAGAGGAATGAGTGAGTGAGGAGAGGAATCAGGGAATGAGGAGAGGAATGAGTGAGTGAGGAGAGGAATGAGCGAGTGGGTAGAGGAATGAGTGAGTGAGGAGAGGAATGAGTGAGTGAGTGAGGAGAAGAATCAGTGAATGAGGAGAGGAATCAGTGAGTGGATAGAGGAACGAGTGAGTGAGGAGAGGAACGAGTGAGTGAGGAGAGGAATGAGTGAGTGAGGAGAGGAATGAGCGAGTGGGTAGAGGAATGAGTGAGTGAGGAGAGGAATGAGTGAGTGAGTGAGGAGAGGAATGAGTGAGTGAGTGAGGAGAGGAATCAGTGAATGAGGAGAGGAATGAGTGAGTGGATAGAGGAACGAGTGAGTGAGGAGAGGAATGAGTGAGTGAGGAGAGGAATGAGTGAGTGAGGAGGGAGGGGGGGGGGGGGGGAGGGAGTGGGGGGGAGAGTGAGTGAGGAGAGGAATGAGTGAGGAGAGGAATGGGTGAGCCATCTCCCTCTCTTCTCTGTGTTCCCAGACCCCAGCCACCCTCAAAACCCAGCTCCCTGAACCGCTTTCCTGCCCCTCAGAAACTCCATCCACCCTGAGATCCCAGACCTGTCCTGCTGCCAAACTCACCAGGCCCTGGTGTCCCCAAAGCCAGTTCCATTTTGGGGACCGCAGGAAACACTGGAGGTGGCAGCAGTTGTCATAGAAGGTGTAGGTCCAGGCCAGGACACGGGCCAGGATCCAGGAGCCCCCAACCAGCAGCTGGAGCAGCCACGGGGATGCTGCCACGGGCCCGAGGCCCAGCCAGGACAGGCTCAGCGTCAGCATCCTGAAGGGGAGACGGGATGGAGGGTGAGACACTGAGGCCCAGGGAAGGGCCCAGGAAGTTCCAGGGACAGTGGACAGGGGCAAGGAAGGGCAGTGCTGGAGGCAGATCAGGGAAGGGTCTGAGACGGGTAAACAAGAGCTGAGATCTAAAGTCCAGAAACACCCAACGGAAACCAGCAGCCAAGTGGCCTCCAGTTACACAGAAAGGGAGAGATTGAGGCTGATTAGAATCCAGAAAGGCCCAGCCTGAATCACTGGGAGGTTGCCAGGGGTCCGGTTACCAGGAAATCACGTTTCCCAGGTCAGTAGCCTGGACCCACCCCAGCCTTGGGCAGTGCCTCTCCCCATCCCAGGCCAAGATCCTCCAGCCCTGCCACCCCCAGCCTGGCACCTTCTGTCAGGACCAGCTTGTCCCACACAATCTCCTCTCCCCACCTGCTAGGAGGTCTTTACCTCTGGCCCCTGATGTAGGGAAGGCTGTGGGAGGCTGGGTTAGGCTGGGCTGGGCTGGGCGAGCCAATCCCCATAGCCTGGGTGTGTCTTCCGTGCCTGGGCAGCCAACCAAGACCTGGCATCAGGCCAACTGGGTGCAGAGGATCCAGCTGAGGGTGACACAGCATGGACTCTGGTTCTGCAGGTCTCAGCACCTCTCAGGTGGGTGAGAGGGGATCTTGAGGTGCAAAGGTGACTCTGAGCCCCAAAGTTGACAACCACCCTGCCCTTCCAAGGCAAGGGTGTGGCAGATAAAGGCATGAACTTGAGAGTTCAGGCAGCAGGTGAGCAGGGCCAGGCCAACCCTCGTCCCAGATCATTTTCTGAGCTCCTCTTCACGTGTGGTCTAGGAGTTCGCTATGCACCATTTCTCAGTGCAGACTTAGGAGATTCAGAGACAGAAGCTCCTGGCCTCTGGCTTCACAGCCTGGCAGGAGTTCAAGTCCTGCCTCCAGGTAACCCAGGGCCTGGGTCGAGACATGACTGACAGGAGCAGGAACAAACTACCTAACTGTGCTGGGGATTACCCGGTCTGATTCCAGAGATAAAGAGCTCTGCTGGAGGAGAATACCTGGAGGCTGGACTCAGAATAGAAGGACAGAGATGGGGCATGGGAGGTAAGGCTGAGAGGGGCCATGAGCAGATGGGGCCAGGGAGGGCCGAGCCAGGAGACCCTGAGTGGAGTCCTTATTCTCGCCTCTCCTTGCTCTAACTGTGGGCAGTGAGCCCCTCCTGGACTCAGGCTTCCCATCTGGGAAATGGGACGTCAGATGAGGCCTTAGAGGGGGACAGAGGAGGGATCACAGGAAAATGGGCCTTAGACGGGGACAGATGGATTCTGAGGGAGCCTGAAAAACAGGGAATGAAGGGAAGGGGCTGGCAGCTAGTACTTTAGCTGCTGCGTGTCAGTCTCTGCTCTTTGCAAAAGACAATATGCGATATTGCAATATCCTGTGGGCTGGACTCTACATAAAGCACGCCTACCCTGTGCCAGGTACTCTGTATACATGTCGTGTACTGTGTGCCAAGTGTTCTATGTAAAGTGTGCCCAATGTGTGCGGGGCGCTCTACAGAAAATCTTGCTTCTGTGTTCTCGGTCCTCTACATAAAGTGAAATTTGTGCAGAGTAACTTATGTAAAGTGGACCTACTCTGCGCCTACTGCTCTGTATAAAGCACACCTACTGTGTGTCAGATGCTGTACATAGAGCATGTTTACTACGTGCCTGGTGATCTATGTAAAGTGCACCTACTGTGCGCCAAGTGCTCTACACAAAGTGTGCCTACTCTGGGTGCTGGGCACTTTTCATAAACTCTGACTCCGTGTGTCCCATACTCTACATAAAACACACCTACTGTGTGCCAGATACTCTACATAAAGTGTTCTGTGTATCGAGTGCTCTACATAAAGTAAAATTACTCTGTGCAAAGTTCTTGACATAAAGAATGCCTACTGTGTGCAGGGCACTCTCCACAAAGCACTCCTACTGTGTGGCAGGGGCTCTAGGTAAAGCATGCCTACTGAGCTCCACCTACTCTAGGTCAAGTGCACCTGCTCATGTCAGATGCTCACCTGCATCACCGTGCCCAACGCCTTCACACCAACCTCCCCTCGGTTCTCTGAGCCAGAGCCCTGGGATTGTTGGAGAGACCCGAGTGATGGCATCCAGAGAAGGGAATGCGTCCATCTAACACAAGAGCAAACTGAGTCTCAGAAAGGGCAGGCCTCTAGCCCAAGTTGCAGAGCTCACAGGAAGCCAGGTTTGTGAGACCCTCAAGCCCAAACCTTTTTCCTCTGCCATGCTGTTCTGCACCCATTCGTTAGGGTCAATGTCATATTGATACAGGGACATTAATAACGAAGGAATCTCAGGCTACGTAGTGGCCCCAGAGGGAAAATATCTGGAGGCCCTTGGATCAGCACGTGGCTCCTCCTCCCACACGCAGAATGCTCCGCCCACAGACCCAGGGCCCCCCTCCTGGCTCTCCCTGGATCCTGTCCAGAACTGCCCTGCGGGGTGGACTCAGGAGAGGGGGTGCTTGAAGGAGGGGGCTCCTAGCAGAGCTACTGAGAAGGGGGATGGGGAAGACAGCGCTCCTGACACTGGCTGGGTGTTGGGGAGCCCCCAAACCTCCCCCACCCCACCACCACTACCAGCTCATTCAGCCAAGGGATTCAGGCAGCTGGCCCTACAGCCTCAGTGGGGTAGGGTGCATCCCCCAAAATCCCCACTTCCTCTGCAAGGACAGACCTCACCTGCTGGCGGTTCCACCCCTATTAGGCTCAGGGAGCAAAGTCAGAGTTTGATGAACCAGGCGGGGTTCTAGGGACGAAGAAGAAAGCGTCCTCAGCGGCTAGAGGGGCTCCGCTCACTGCAGACCTGCTGTGTGCCTGGGATGAGCAGGCAGCCTAGAGCCGGAATGGTGACCACCACCATTTGCCCACATAACTCACACAGCCTGTTTTAAGTCCTTTAAGTATATTAACCACCTTGTTTTCCATTTTACAAATGAATCATTAAGCCTGCAAGATATTTAAGTGACCACCTATAGTCGCACAGCTGGTGGAGCCAGGCTGGTTATCCAGACCACCCACCCAGCCTCACACTGTGCCACCCCCACCACTGGGCTGTACTCCTTCATATCTGTAAATGGGCGTTTCAGTAGCACTCGCCTCACATGGCTGTTGTAATACTTAAAACAGACAATGCAGGCAAAATGCGCAAGGCAGACTAAAGGCTCAGCAAGTGCAACTCGCTGTTCCTGCTGTTGCTGTGGGTGCTGTGTAAGCTGGATATGGGGTCTGACCCGGATCCCGCAGCGGGCAGAGACATGGCCTTGCGCTGTATTGGAGAAGGGCCCCAAAGGTCCACCCTGCCCTCACCACCTGCTCTCTTTGGCTGTAGATTATGGCTAGGGGAGCAACCTCCTAGACACAGGAGCCTTGGCCTGAATCCAGAAGAGTTATCTGTGGTGAAGCAGCAACAGGAAATTTGAACACCTGGTAGGTGTTAAGGCAGACTCACAGGTGGATTCTTCCCGGGGAGATGTCAGCTGTTCTGTGTCTGGGAACTGAACATCCAGGGAGCCCAGCCGCCCATCCAATGAACACGTGAGCTCTGCACAGCCCAGCTACTGCATCCCCGATAGTCTCTGCTTGAATGCTCCGCAGCATGGAGACCTCAGCATGGGCGCGTGCATGCACACACACACACACACACACACACACACACACACACAGCCTATGCCTTTACAGCAGTGGTCCCCAACCTTTTTGGTACCACGGACCAGTTTCATGGAAGACAATTTTTCCACAAACTGTGGCAGGGAGAGGAGAGACAAAGATGGTTTCAGGATGATTCAGGCGCATCACATTTATTGTACATTTTATTTCTATTATTATTACATTGTAACATATAATTAGGTAATTATACAACTCACCATCATGTAGAATCAGTGGGAGCCCTGAGTTTGTTTTCCTGAAACTAGATGATCCCAAGTGGGGGTGACGGGAGACAGTGACAGATCATCAGGCATTAGATTTTCATAAGGTGTATGCAATCTTGATCCCCTGCATGTGCAGTTCACATTAGGGTTTGCACTCCTATGAGCATCGAATGCTGCCACTAATCTGACAGGAGGCAGAGCTCAGGCAGTAATGTGAGTGATGGTGAGTGACTGTAAATACCGATGAAGTTTCGCTCACTCACCCACCGCTCACCTCCTGCTGTGCAGTACAGTCCCTAACAGGCCACAGACCAGTACCTGTCTGCTGCACGGGGTTGGGGTCCCTTGCTTTACAGAATATTAGAGGGTAGATACTCTATGGAAATGAGCCTCAAACTCAACCAGTTCGAAATCAACAAGAAAGGGGATCATTTAAAATGCATCTTCCTCTATGTGCACACACGTCAAGGGAGGCAAGGTATGAGGCTAAGAGAGTGAGGTACAGAACAGCAGGTATGTCTGCTAGATATTCACAGAAATGAGGTGGACAGTGCATAGAGGCATACACTTCTATCCATCATATTTGTATAAATAAACTCTAGCATGAGTAGTTTTAAAGCTTAGAACATAAATATTTAGGGCCGGGCACAGTGGCTCATGCCTTTAATCCCAGCACTTTGGGAGGCTGAGCTGGGTGGATCACCTGAGGTCAGGAGTTCAAGAACAGCCTGGCCAACGTGGTGAAACCCCATCTCTACTAAAAATATAAAAATTAGCTGGACGTGGTGGTGGACGCCTGTAATCCCAGCTACTTGGGAGGCTGAGGCAGGAGAATCGCTTGCACCCAGGAGGCGGAGGTTGCAGTGAGTCAATATTGCACCATTGCACTACTGCCTGGGCAACAAGAGTAAAACTCCATCCAATTTAATAATAATAATAAATGTTTATGTACATATAACTATTTATATGTTTATGTATTTCACTTGTGTGGTTTGTTTTCTCCTCTGTGTGTACAGCCAGTAATCCTCCCAGGTCTCCACTCTGTGGGACCCCACAAAGCTCCCACTTCTTGGACTCTGTGCTCTGGGAGTGTGTGGGACGCACCTGAGCCACAGCTCCCTGCAGGCTCAGAGGCCAAGGAGTTCCTGGGTGGCTGCTGTCTCTGGTCCTAAGCCCTCTATGGAATAGGGTCTCTACCGGAATAGGGAGCTGGGACCAGAACAGCAGGTCTGCCACCTGGCTGTGGGTCTGTCTGCCTTCTCAAAGCAACCCTTCTAGGTCTTGGGTTTCACAAATGCCTACCTGAATCCCAAGACACTCCAAAAGTCACTTTTTCCCGTGGATGGCTGTGAAATTATTGTTGTTGTAGGGGGATCCAACTGGGGGGGACCTCCTATCCCACCATCTTGCTGATTTCACTCTTACAGAAGTCTTGAAGCCAGACAGTATACGTATTCCGACTTTGATCTCCTTTATATAATTAACTTTTTCTATTCTAGGTCATTTGC